CAAGTACTTGAATGTATGAGGGGTGCATTCACTGGAAGTCTCCAACACCTCACTAAGCTGTTATTTCAAATGACGCTAAGAATGCAGTAAAATTAATGCAAACCTTAATATAGACTGACACCTAGTGTCAAAAGGGCAGAAGTGGCCATATCTAAGAAAACACAAAGTGCAAAGAGAAATAGGTTCTGGAACAGTTAATATGCTTTAGAGACTGAACAGTGAAGTTATACTGCTGGATTTGCCATCAGAAAACAAATTGGTTCTGATGGACCTCACAGGTATGGAGAAAAATGCACTTACCTCATCAGTTGCTACATGCACTACCAGGAGATAAATATCTGAAAAAAAAAAACACAAAAGAAATCACATTGTACTGCAGCAGCAGCAATTTGACTCACCCACCACGGAATGAGACATAACTGTCATCCTCTAAGGCCTGTCTGTCCTCTGCACAGGTCAAACAGGAAAGACAAACAGATGTGGTTAAAACCATCACCCCACATCTTTCACATTATTGGTGTGCCCTCTCCATAACTCTTCCAAGGATATGATTACTGACACCAACTCATGGTTTTCCCAAGGAGACACACATACAATAGCTTCTACAGGACTTATAACTACAGTATACCTCACTCCATGGGTCAAGGAATCAATGTGGAGATTCTATGGACTCCTCAGTCTATTTATTCCAGTTATGCATAGCAACTGAGGAAATAACCACCAGGTCCATGCACAGACACACTCACAAGTCTGGTTATAAACCTACGAACAAAGCCAGATTGTGAGGGTGGACCTGTGGATAATCGGCATTGTCTTGCTTGGATCTCCTTCAGGAACGTTTACTGTTGCTACTTCTGCAAACAATGGTTGTCTAATTCTTTAGCACAGGGGTAGAGGGCACAGTAGGACTCTAGTCAGGCTGGGAATGCATCTGCCACTAACAGTGAAAAGGCAGTTCCTCAGGCAGAATAGATCCATCAGAATCTGAGAGTTCAGTGTCCTAAGTAAGTCTCATCATTTCATCAGGACCCTCTCGCGAATTTCTGCACCTATTTATGGGATAGCACACTTTCTCAGTCATCTCCTTCACTATGATTGCAGACACCCTTTAAGACTGAGACACAGCCAACTATATAATAAGGGCTTGTTAGGTCACTATAGGGCAAATCAATGATGAGGGGAACCAAAGTTACCTGCAACCATGGTTCAGTCAGTAAGTGCTGTGAGATAATGCTTTTGGACACTATAAGGATTTGTCACTCATTTTGCTTTAATAAAATGCTTATTGGCCAGAAGCCAGGCAGGAAGTATGGGTGGGGCAACCAGTCTAAGGGAATTCTGGGAAGAGAAAAGGCAGAGAAACAGTCACCAATCAGATGCAGAGGAAGCAAGATGAGAATGCCTCACTGAAAAATTGAATCCAAGAACACATCAGAACCAACATCCACCATGATCAAGTTGGCTTCATCCCAGAGATGCAGCCTGGTATTGGCATGAGAACAGACCAGGAGGACCAATGGCACGGAATAGAAGACCCGGATATCAATCCACACATCGTCGAACACCTGATTTTCCTATGTTGAACTAGCCCTGAATCTCTGGGATGAAGCCTACTTGATCATAATGGATAATTTGTTGGATGTGTTCTTGAATTCGGTTTGCCAGTATTTTATTGAGAATTTTTGCGTCGATGTTCATGAGTGAGATAGGCCTGTAATTCTCTTTCTTGGTTGAGTCTTTGTGTGGTTTTGGTGTCAGGGTAACTGTAGCTTCACAAAAAGGAGTTTGGCTATGACTCTTCTGTTTCTATTTTGTGAAACACATTAAGGAGTATAGGTATTAGCTCTTCTTGGAAGTTCTGGTAGAATTCTGCATTGAAACCATCTGGTCCTGGGCTTTTTTTGGTTGGGAGGTTTTTGATGACAGCTTCTAATTCCTCGCAACTTATAGGTCTATTTAAATTGTTCACCTGGTCTTGATTTAATTTTGGTATATGGTACTTATCTTAAAAAATGTCCATTTCGTTCACATTTTCCAATTTTGTGGCATACAGGCTTTTCTAGTAAGATCTAATGATTCTCCGAATTTCCTCTGTGTCTGTGGTTATGTCCCCCTTTTCATTTCTGATCTTATTAATTTGCGTGTTCTCTCTCTGCCATTTGATTAGTTTGGATAGGGGTTTGTCAATCTTGTATATTTTCTCCAAGAACCAGCTTTTTATTTCACTGATTCTTTGGTTTGTTTTCTGTGTTTCTAATTTGTTGATTTTAGTCATCAGTTTGATTAGTTCCAGTCTTCTACTCCTCCTGGGTGAGTCTGCTTCTTTTTTTCTAGAGCTTTCAGGTGTGCTTCTGTAATGTAAAGGAAACTGTAATTAAGACAAAAAGGCAACCTACTAAATGGGAGATCTTCACCAACCTTGTATCAGACAAAGGTCTGATCTCCAAAATATATAAAGAACTCAAGAAACTAGACATTAAACTCTATTTAACCTAATTAAAATGGAGTACTGGGGCTAGAGAGATGGCTCAGTGGTTAAGAGCATTGTCTGCTCTTCCAAAGTCCTGAGTTCAATTCCTGGCAACCACATGGTGGCTCACAACCATCTGTAATGAGGTCTGGTGCCCTCTTCTGGCCTGCAGGCATACACACAGACAGAATATTGTATACTTAATAAATAAATAAATATTTTTTTTAAAAAAAATGGGGTACTGAACTGAACAGAAAATTCTCAACACCAGGACAGGAACCAAAAGCTACGGAGAAATCCTGTCTCAAAAATCAAAAAAAAAAAAAAAAAAAGAAAAGAAAATTCCCAACAGAAGAAGTTCAAATGGCCAAAAGACACTTAAGGTCATGCTCAACTTCCTAAGCGATCAGGGAAATGCAAATCAAAACAACTTTGAGATACCATCTTACACCTGTCAGAATGGCTAAAATCAAAAACACCAATGATAGCCTATGCTGGAGAGGACATGGAGTAATGGGAACACTCATCCATTGTTGGTGGGAATGCAAACTTGTGCAACCACTTTGGAAATCAGTGTGGCGGTTTTTCAGGAAGCTGGGAGTCAACTGACCTCAGGATCCAGCATTACCACTCTTGGGAATATACCCAACAAATGCCCAATAATACTACAAAAGCGTTTGTTCAACTATGTTAATAGCAGCTCTATTTGTAATAATCAGAACCTGGAAACAACCTAGGTGCCCCTCAATAGAAGAATGGATAAAGAAGGTGTGGCACATACACACTTTAGAGTTCTACTCAGGGGTAAAAAAAAAAACCAATGACATCTTGAATTTTGTATGCAAATGGATGGAAATAGAAAATACTTTACTGAGTGAGATAACCCAAACCCAAATAGATGAATATGGTATGTACTCACTCATTAGTGGATTCTAGCCATAAACAAAGGACATTGAGCCTATAATTTGTGATCCTAGAGAAGCTAAATAAGAAGACAAACCCAAAGAAAAACATATACTTATCCTCCTGGATACTGGAAGTAGACAAGATCACCGGGAAAAAGTTGGGAGCACGGGCTGGGGGGAAGATGGGGAGAGAGAAGGGAGAAGGGGAGGATTGGGGAGAGCTTGGAGGAATGGGATGGTTGAGATAAAGGAAGGGTGGATATGGGAGCAGGGAAGAAGATATCTTTATTAAGGGAGCCATTGTAGGGTTGTCAAGAGACTTGGCTCTAGAGAGGTTCCCAGGTGTCCAAAGAGATGTCCCCAGCTAGGTCCTTGAGCAGCAGAAGAGAGGGTGCCTGAACTGGCCTTCTCCCATAGCCACACTGATGAATATCTTGCATATCACCATAGAACCTTCATCCTGCAATGGATGGAGATAGAGACAGAGACCCACGTTGGAGCACTGGACTGAGCTCCAAAGGTCCAGATGAAGAGCAGAAGGAGGGAGAGCATGAGCAAGGAAGTCAGGACTGAAAGGGGTGTGTCCACCCATGAAGATGGTGGTACTCATCTAATGAGTGCTCACCATGGCCAGCCAGACTGGGACAGAAAGAGCATGTGAACAAACCAGACTCTCTGAATGTGGCTGACAATCAGGGCTGACTGAGAAGCCAATGATAATGGCACTGGGTTTTGATTCTACTGCATATACTGGCTTTTTGGGAGCCTAGTCTGCTTGGATGCTCACCTTCCTAGACCTGGATAGAGAGGGAGGACGGTGGACTTCCCACAAGGGAGGGCACCCTGACTTCTCTTAGGACTGGAGAGGGAGGGGGAGTGAGAGAAGTGAGAGGGAAATGGGAGGAGGGAAGGAGGTGGAAATTTTTAATGAACAAATTTAAAAAAAGAAATTAAGGAAAACACAAATACTTGTACAAACACATTCTTAACATTATTACAGAAACACTCATGTCAATTATAATCCAGCTATATAGAGAGATCCTGTCTCAAAACCAAACAAACCAAAACAAAAATGTGTTAGCTTTAGGTGTTTGGTTTTTACTTCACTGGGATAGATGTACAATGGTAGATTTTAAAATATAATACCAAATTTGTGTGTAAAGTATGTCCATTGGGTGTAGGATATATCCGTGCATGTGTGTTTGCAATGGGACTTTATAACAGAAGCACAGACGGCTACTTGCTATAGTTCAGAAATTACACATGTCATGTTACATGCTGTGTAATATTTATTATGGTAGATAAGCACCAGTGTGAGTTCCATATGTATTGATTCTTCCCTCTCTGGGAGGGCTCTGTCTAGGACTAGGCTTAGAGTGCTGAAAGGAACAGATAAGCCCTCTGCCCCTGAGAGTTTACATCCAAATGGAAAGACAAACACTTCTGAAAGAAACCATGAACTCAGTGGAAATTTTCAAGTTGGCATGTGCTGTGAAGTCAGAGTAATCAACACCTATAAGACTAGGCTAGGGTCAAGACAGAAGAAGACAGCAGGCAGGGTGCTGGGCACAGTTTTCTCATCACCTAGGTTAACAAAAATGTGGGCAGTTTGGGACATTGGTGAGATGAGTCCTTCTACTAGGCGCCTGAAGAATGTCATTATCTCTCCCATCAGGGTCTTCCTGAGCCTTTTCCTGTGAGTCTCTGATGGACACTGGCTACCACCCAAAGCAGGGCTTGAGTTAAAGAGTCAGGGACATCAAAAAATGTTTAGTATAAAGGGAAAGAATTCAGAGAGACTTCCAGATAGAGGCCACCAAAATAGACGAAGAGACCAGAATCTGATAGACCAGGACAGTCAAGAGGAAGTGGGAGGTGGGAGGAACAGATTCAGGGACTCTCAAAGGTGATGAGAGGAGGCTGGAAGAAGGAGCTGGCAGAACTGACTGATCTGGGGAGACTAACGCTGCCTTTGTTCTCTCAGGCTAGAAGACATTTATGGGTGTCCTTATGACTTTGTCGAAGTGTTTGATGGAAAGCAAGTTGCCTCACTGTCCATGGGCAAAGTCTGTGCTGGGGCAGAACTCACCTTCCTCTCCTCTTCCAATTCCATGACAGTGGTGTTTAAAAGTGATGCCATGGTCACCAACACAGGGTTCTATGCTCTGTACAACACTGTTCACCAAGACGAAAGGCAGAACAGTGGGTATCCTAACATGCACCTTGCAAGATGTCCATCTGGCTGTGCCTTTTCCCATTTGGTGAAAAGACACTTTTAAAGTATGACCTGAATTCTATCACACCTGATGTGTCCACCTCTGCTGCTGAGTGGCACGCACACTGCCAGTCATAGCCCTTACCCCTGCTCTGCCCCCATAGTCCCTGCCTTCTACCTAAAGCATCTAGAAACATAGGGCTGAGAATGCCTGTCTCATACTGTCTGTGGTCTTGATGGAGAATCCCACTGAGACCTTCCCCTCCCAAAGGAAGGAAAACAATAACAATAATATGAACTGTCACAAAGTCAGCCAACTTTCTTCTGACTGGATTCTGCACACAGTCTCCAGAACTCTTGTGGGCCTCTCAGATCCCACAGCAGGAGCAGGCACATTGTAGAGCTCTCTATGCTAAATGTATTTTTTCCTCCAACTGGGATCTTTGGGAGCTTATGAGACTCTCAAATACTGGACTCGGAGATGGCTCAGTGGGTAGAGAACCTGAGTTCAGATCCTCAGAACCCACAAAGCTGGGTTCAGTAGCACATATCTGTAATCCCTGTGAAATGGGAGGCAGAGGCAGTCGGATTCTCAGAAACTCGCAAGCCTGCTAAACTGGTGTAAACAGGATTCAGTCAGAGATGAAGAAGAGGTCTGTCTCAAGCTAGGCAAAGGTCAACAACCAAAGGTGTCTGCTGACCTCCACGTATGTGCCTACACTCACATAAATAATCACACACTCGGGGAGGGGAAGGGGAGAAAGGGATTTAAACAATTAATAGGCATCAATAACTCTTCAGTACTCTTAAAAGTCACAGGGCCACTCCTAGGGTCTAACAAAGAGAACGTGTTTTTCAACCTGCAGATGGCCCTATTATATGAGGACAATGTCACATCTCAGAAGCACTTATTTTTCCATTCCTAGGTATGGCCTTGAGACTGGTGAATGGTAGCCACAGGTGTGAGGGACGAGTAGAGGTCTCTTACAATGGTACCTGGGGCACAGTGTGTGATGACAGCTGGGACCTGACAGATGCCAAGGTGGTGTGCCAGCAGCTTGGCTGTGGTGTGACCATGTCAGCCCCAGCTGAGAGCTACTTTGAGAGAGGCATGGGCCATATCATGCTGGATGATGTGCAGTGTATGGGGGATGAAGCCAAGGTGTGGCAATGCACACATCACAGATGGTTCTCCCACAACTGTGGGCACCATGAGGATGCCAGCGTGGTTTGCTCAGGTGAATGGCAAGGCTTGCATCACATCTCAGAGACAGAGCTTTGCCAACCCCAGCCATTGGGAATGGATATGTCAATACCAGCAGGCAAGCTGTCAGCAATGAGCTCTGGGATTTGAGCTGATTTTAAATTCAATTTACTTAAGAGTTAGCGTGTGAGCACAGATTCCAGCATCTGTAAATTGTTCAAAATCTCACCTGGAAAACAGAGATTATATGAATGGTCTGTATTAGCAGACATCTTATGCCTGGCCAGGCATGACTAGGTTCTGGTAGCAATCCAGTATCCACCAAGGGTTCTGTGAATGCCAAACTGTCCTACAATCAGTGCATCTGAATTTTCAGTTCATTCCCATGGCTAACGTAGAGATGAGGGCATCTGTACTCAGCTGATCAGGCCCTCAAAGTCATATCCAGCCCCACATGCAGGACCACATTCTTTAGGTATTGCCTGGCTGGGGTCCTTGGTTAAAGACCAAGCTCATCTCTGTGACAGAGGCTCTGTTAGCCCAGTAACTGACCAAAATCAAACAAACGCCATGCTGTACCTGAACCACAGGGGCCTTGTGTGCTCCCTCACTCCAGCTCTCTGATTCCCTCACTAGCCTGGATGACTCTTAATTCTAGTTTCCCAGTGGCCCAGAGCAGAACATGTCTGATCCTAAAGAAAGAGCCTGATTTTTATGGGGAGTTATGTGCCCACCTTATTCAATCTGTCTCTCACCCTGACATTTGTCTTTGAATAGGTATTGATGCCACACCAAGCAGAGGACCAGCAGGTTCTGCCTGTCAATATATGTACTCAGTTTCCAGGGTCCTCATGGGTGAAAATCCGAGCCACCATTCAAGTTCTGAAGCTAGATGGGGAGGGCCAATTAGATACTCTGTTTCTAATCAACACCTATGACAGTTGACAATATGGTGGGGCTGAACTGCTGCAGATGGTGGGAAGAGGAGAGAGAGTAAGGGAAGGGCTCAGATCCACCAGAGATGAAATACCTTGGGTACTGGTTCAGTAGAGAGAGGACCAACCAGCTGCTGGCAGTGGTGATCATGTCATGAGATTCAGGATGGAGCAAGGAACCAGCAGTTCCCGGTTGTCTGCAGAGGCCCCTGTCCATATTCTTGAGGTTCAAATTGCAAGCTCCTAAGAGTCAGGAGCTCACTGGGCACTCTGCTCACTGGGCACATAGTCTTCCGTGTTTTAAGAAAATAATTAAATATGAACACAAATTCTTGATCACAACAATTTTTTTCTGTGCATTTTTATAGACTCCTCCAGTGTCGTCATGACAGGTACTGCAGCTCCTCTTGTATGTATTGCTCTTCCATTGGACTCGTCCTGTCTCTGGCTGACGCCCTTTCATATTTAATACATAACAAGCTGCTACATAGGAGTCTACAGCTAATCACACACCAAATCCGAGAGTTTGACACTAACTGTGGAATTCACCTTGGTCTCGATTTCAGCTCCAATTTGTATATAATTATTAAGAGATAAGCTTTGGTGCATTGGAACTTGAAAGAGTTTGTCCTGAGCAAATAGTTATTTTAAATTGAGAAGCTTCAAGCTGGGGTTATTTGGGGCTTCACCAAGAGGCCAGGCTTTGATAAAACAATGTTGGAGGCAAGGGCAATGTTTGCTTGGTGAATGTGTGCCAATGACTTCCTTTGGAACACTAGAGTGGGAAGTTCCTAGTTAGAGGTGAGTTGGCAGTTTCTAATTAGTTATGACGATCTATACCGAGTGACTTTGTTTTGCTTATGTAGGAACTGAGATGTCAGAGCAGTTTAATAGCATCCCAATTATTTCTTTTCATCAAATCAATTCGTGATCCTCAACCTTCCTAATCCTGTGACCCTTTAATATAGCTCCTCATGTTGTGGCAATTCACAGCCATAAAATTATTTTGTTGCTACCTCAAAACTGTAATTTTGCTGCTGTTGTGAATTTTAATATGAATATCTGATATGCTGGATACCTGATATGCAATCCACAGGATGAGAATCAGTGATCTAATGTGAGTTGTTTGTTCTATGGCATAGCATAGTGGGTTTGCACATGTAAACCTATCTGGGGACCTGGGTGCATAAGGCCTGTTCAATTGCTATCATTTTCCCATCACAGAGGGAATGGTCTTCATCTGTCAGAAGGTTGATGCTGACTGAGGCTGATGATGTAGCTCAGTTGGAAGAGAGCTTATCTAGTACACAGGAAGCCCTGGGTTCAGTTCCTAGCATTGTACAAAACAAGCCAAGATGCTACATGCCTATTCCAGCACTCAGGAATGGAGGCTGGATGATCTCGGGAGTTCAGGGTCACCCCTATACAGTCAGCCTCAACCACTTTAGGCCTGTCTCAAAAAAAAGAGTGTTTTCTGGCTGGAGGCATAGCTCATCATTTAAGAGTACTTGCTGTTCTTGCAAAGGTCCTCAGTTCTATTCTCAACACCTACATCAGGCATTTTAGAAATTCGTATATCCCCAGTTCCAAGGGACCCAGTGCCTTCAGTTCTCCACAGACATGTATGCACACACCCGCGAATGTGTGCGTGCACATGCATGCGCACATGCACACCCACCCACACATAACACACACACACCAATAAAAAGGGCATCAAAACAAAAAAGGAAAGCAGTCCTAGCCTAAGTCTCCCTTACATCTCTTTGTTGGTACAGCTGTTTTTCTTCCAACTCTACAGCTCATACCCACTTCACATTGAGATCCAGTCTCAGTGCTGGGGTTATAGGTGTGCACCCCTACACTCAGCCTGTTTTCTTTCCTTCTGCTTTCTTGTGTCTCCTCTTTACCTCGAAAAAAAAAAAAAGCACCATGTCTCCTCAAGGGATTTTCTCACTTTTTTACAAATGAAGATTTCCAGTGTTGTGGTTTGCTCACAAACAGTTCAGGCTCCTACTCCAGTCCTTGGTATCCTAAAAAATATTCCACCAATGTGCTTTGTGCCTGGGATGTACAAGTGGATAGCAGTGTTCACATCAGACTTTGAAGTGGTCGAGTGAATATTTTCTGCCTAGACAGTTATCATTACCTGGCTTTGTACACATCAGTTTTATTACCTCTTTGCTGGACACAACAATGCAGTTGCACACATGAACTCCTAACAGATGAAACTTCATGTACAAGACCAATAATATCAAGTCAGCCACAGTCCCAACATGCATGATTGAGGGACTCACAAAGTCCTACCCCTTTCTGAGAAGCTGTTGGCAATTAGTGGTTACTGGAAGAGTGAGAGTATTTTCTTTGGTGATACAGGCACTGAGAGATTACCCAAGCTCCTGTAGAAGGTCCCATACCCATGTGAACACAGAAAGCACAAAATGGATTCAGTGGGTAGCAAATTTAAAATAAAAATGGATGTGGTGGCATATGCCTTTTATCCTGGCATTTAAGAGGCAAAAGCAGGCAGATCTCTTTGCGTTCAAGACCAGCCATAGCTACAATGGGAGACCTGTCTCAAAACAAAAAAAAGGTAAAAATAAATAAAATGTAAAGGAAGAGAGCCTGTGGTGTTGGGAGGACAGTGGGGAGGGAGTTAGTGGAGGAACTGAAGGGAAGGAACTGAGCCAGTCTGGATGCACACTGTATATGCATATATAAATATTATATAAAACATAAAAAAGCTATAATTCTCCCAAATGAGCTGTACCTTGAAGTGCCTAGAAATGTTGTTCAAAAGTCTGAGTACAGAAACCCCAGGAATTTAAGTCCTGTGAGTACAAGAGAGTATGCAGCTTACACACAGAGACAGGAGATTGGGATTAATCTACTTGCCCATCAGCAGATTTGCTAGACAGATTTTTGCTACAGCCACGTGTCACTGTCACAGACTAAGTGACTATTGCTACAGAATGAGGTGCAAGAAAACAGTGGACAATTGTCAATCTGCCACAATTCTTGTGTAAGCTTCCTGTGGAAGGAAAAAGAACCGCTTCTGGGAAGCAGGATAGAGTGGAGGGATCAGTGGGGATGGGAGATTTTCCTTCCTTCCATCATTATCACTTAAGTTTTATTCCATGAGTTTATAGCACACATTGAAAAGATATTTTTGAATTAAAATGTGAACAAATCAAAAAAATAAATTTAATGGTATTTTTATAAATTTTTATCTCAAATTAGTTTGTTTAGATTTTTGGGGGGATTATTGGTCTTGGCATGTATATATTGACTTACATTTTGTGGGTCTGTGTGTGTGTGTTGTTTGTTCCTGGCTTGTTTTTCTTTGAAGAGAGAAGGAAAAAGTGTGGAACTGGATGAGTGGAGAGGAACTCGGGGTGAGAGTGGGGAATGTGACCAGAACAACTTGTGTGAAAATATTTTTCTTCAATACAAAATTAAAAGTATATATTTAGAGGTATACAGGTACATTTACCCACATCAGTAGAGCCAGGCGCTCTTCCAAACTGTGGGAGGAGGTATAGGTTTGCAGTAGCTTTGCCTGACCCTTGCTGCAGCCCTCAAGAAGGTCATGAAGCTGGTACCTGGCACTTAAGGGAAGGAAAGGACTCCACCGTGGATAAAGAGTAGCATCAAGGCTCCAGGTACACTACCTATGATTCTCTCATCCTCACAGGAGCATCAAGGCTCTCCCAGCTACTCCAACTCCATCAGAGGCAGAACTCAAGGCCACCCTGGCCGAGTCATAGTGAGGCACAAGGTGCCCCAGGTGAAGTTCACCTGCAAAGTGGATGGCCAGTCTGCAATGGAAATTGTGCATGGGAGTGACACTCAGAAGGACCATGTCAGCTACGATGTGTCAATATCATTCCTCCAGTCACCAGCATCCCGGAATATGGGGGTTGGAGCTCCTCCTTATACCCATCAGAGGGAAGAGGTCTTCCTGCAGGCCACCCTCCACAGCCACAATCCCAATCTGAAGCTCGTGGTGGATACCTGTGTGGCTTCTCCTGACCCCAGTGATTTCACAACTGTCAAGTATGAACTGGTTCAGGAAGGGTAAGGATCATGGAAACTCTCCCTAGTCGGTGTTAATGAGCATGGTGTTTCTCTGGGGAACCTGTAGTGTCTGACCTGGAGTACTAAGTCAGAAGGGTGTAGGATAGCTCTACCAGACACCCTACATGTCTCTTTCAGACATCCTGCATGTCTCTACCAGACACTGATCAAGATGGAGAGTACAGCAGCCTAGACCTCCTTTGACTCCTCCAAGACCTTACTCAGTATTTCGCTAGGCCACCCATTCTTTTTTAGCCTAATCCCCCCTTCCTTCCTAGTTTCCCTCTCCCAGGACAAATCTTCAGGACTTTGGCTCACACTGATGAGTCAATGTGTTTTCCCGAGCTAAGCTCTTAGTTAAACCAGCCAGATATCTTCGAGCTCGTTTGGTTCAGCAGTGACTTGCCAAGTGAGAACCTTGGCAAGTTGTTTGCCTCTGTGGCTCCTTCATATCTTATCGGGTGTTATTGCATATCTTTCTCTGGGGACATTACACACGTGTCTATTTTCTCCAGATAACACAAAGGACAGCCCCCCCCCCTGTTTAATCAATGTCAACAAGATCTAGTAGATCAACAGTGTTCCTCAGGTCCCTTCTACCCTTACTGCATTCCTCCCCACTGGATCTATGGTTGAGAGAGGGATAGTGAAGCATCCAGTTACTACAGTGGGTTTGTCGGCATCTCACTTCGGTTCCCTTTGCTTCCCATATTTAACACTCTGCCTGCAGGTGTGTTATATTAACGATTATTATATTGGGATACAGATTGTTCCTTACCTCGATTATCTTGGGTAAGGATCTGCTCCTAGAGGGTTGACCCTTTCTTTTGTTGTTTACAAAGCACCCATCTTGGCCCTGACAGTTCTGCGCGCTCTGAAGTTTGTTCTGAACGAAGGAGCAGCTGCCATGCTGCACTCCCTCCATCTCAGTGTCGGTGTCTGTGCACTGACAGCGGCTGTCTTGTAAAGAGCACGTAGCTGGAGGATTTGTGGATTCCCCTGTAACCTATTCTCTGTCTTCACATTGGTGTAAATATGAACCGTTCATACTTAACATTCTCATCCAAGCAGTTGGATTAGACTCCACCACCATTTGTTATATTTGTCTTATGTTCTTTCCCTGCCCTGTGCCTACTTCTCTAACTTCTGATTCTTTTGAACTATACATTTACATAACAACACTTTATCTCCTCTTAATATACCACTTTTGTCACCCTACAGTTTACAATCTACTTTTTTTGGGTAGTGCTGGGAATTGAACTCAGAACACTGGGGATCGTATGTAACCAAGCCCTCATCCACTGCCCTGCATTACCAGGCCTATGATAAACTTCTTAATCTAAGTGTATTTTTAAATGTAACATCCACCTTATAATCTTCCTTCAGCAAAATAGTGTAGACCTAGAAGGCAAAAGTTACAGCTACACCTTGACTTGGTTTTCCTTTAACGGTTCCCTTCTGTTTATGACCAGGTATACGGTTTCCATGAACAATGGTGTTAAACCATACGTGGAGGTAGTAGTAGTAGCATAGTAGTATAGTAGTAGTTGTTGCTTCACAAAAGGGAGGCGAGTGGGAAGATCTCCTTTTGGCATTCAGAACCGTAGAAGCCAGCCTGGTTATGTGGGTTGAAGGAAATGTATGTCATGTGTTAGTTAACCTTTTTGGTTTGGGTTTTTCTCCCCATCAGGTGCATCAAAGACAATTCCTACTCTGACCTGCATACCTCTGGGAAGAATGTGGCCCAGTTCAAGTTCAACGCCTTCAGCTTCCTCAAAAGCTATGATGTGGTCTACCTTCAGTATAAGGTTGCTGTCTGCCGAATCGGAGACCACTCTTCCCAATACTGACAAGGCTGTACAAGGTGAGGGAGGAGAGGCACAGGCTCTGCAGAGGCCAGAGAAGAACCAACTGAGTACTTCCAAACAGTGGGACCACTGAAGATCCACAGAGCAGGTCATCAGAGCAAGACCCTAGTGTGATCTCTCCCGCTGTTACAAGAGTGTGTCGGGAAACTGGAAGCAAGGTATTTTTCTTAGCAGAAAGCTATGTTTGGTCAACCAGAAGCCAGACATTGGCAGCACTGTCTACTGTATCCATTCAGATGGGCAGGAGAAGCCAAGGGATTTCTTCTCTGGGGTTTGTCACTAACCAATCCTGAGCACTAACTTCTAAAGCAGTTTGTCTGTTGTAGGCAATAAAGGAAAATAAAGA